AAAAAATTATATATAAATTGGAAAGATATGTGTTTTGAAAACAGAGCTTTGGTATAACGGTAGCATCAAAAAAAAGCAGAAAAGAAAGCCAACTGTTATAGCAATTTGCATCGGTTTTTTGTACCATTTTCTCTTTGTATTCTTTATTTTTTTCGCATTTTCAGGTGCAGTATCAAAAAGAAAAAGCAAAAAAAAAAAACACTTGAAATTCTGAGATGTATGATCCATATGATCAAAGTTGAAATACAAAAAAAAGAACTGCTCGTTTCTAATTTTTCTTGTTGGTATTATTGTGCTCAACACTGAACCATCATCAACAAAACGGGCATTTATTTATGCATCGCATCGTTTATATACACTTTTTAATTAAAAAATTTGATTTGATTCAAAATTAGGACAACCCGAAATAATTGGTAAAATTTTTTTTTTTTTTTTGTACTGTTCCAATTTCACTTTTATTTATTTATTTATTTATTTTTTTCTTTATCGTTTATTGCATCGAATAAAAATACTGTTATTTGGCAGGCAATAATATAATAAGTTTGGTTTGGTGGTTAAGACAACTGATTTTACAATTATCCAAACAAAACAGCAACACAACAACGATAGTAGTAAAAAAAAATGCATTCAATAGATACGTATCAAAATTGCACGTTTTTTTTTTTTTTGTTAACGTTACTTTTTGTTGTTAAGATTATTGAAATTTACGTATATATGTGGCGAAGAACAAATAGCTTAATTGACAGGTGAAAGAAGTATGAAAAGAAAAAATCAAAGAACTTTATGTGTAGGTTTAAAGTATAATTGACGTAAAAGCTGATAAGAATTTTGAATTGAAAGCCCCTAAATGATTAAGTTTTGCTTTTTATATCAGCTTTAAAAATTACAAAAAAAAAAAATTGGTGTTTTTATTGATAAATAAGACATTCAATCTGTTTTTTTGAATATAATTTGCTGATAATATTATAACCATTAAATTTCAGTAGCAAAAGATTAAGTTTTCTTAGAAAAAGTGTTCAAAAAATGACAAAAGTTATGTGAAAACTAATAGTAATCAAAAAAAAACCTAAAAAAAGAATTTAGAATAGAAAAGTTTCGTTGGTAAGCATTGAGCTATTCAACCGGTTGACAATGGTTACTAAAAGTCAAATTGTTGAATTGTTTAAACTGTTGACAAAATTTCACATAAAACTTTTGCAGCTTTATTGTTAGCAAATTCTATCGTACAAAACTCTGTGTAATCAAAGCAAAAATATTTTGAAAACATATAAATATGTATTTGTATCACAAAAATATTCCTAAACAATACCTTACCTTATTGCTACTACTGCACAGTTAACAATATAGCTAAAAATACGTTACAGATTCAATAAACTTTTTGCAAATTTTTTTATATCAGTAGATGAATTAAACTTTAAACTCTCTACTGATATTATTAAAAACAGTGAATATATGGGAATACCTTAAAACAGTTTTCAAAAATAACAGTATTTAGCAGAAAAAGATTTGGTTGAACTGAAAATCTGATAAGAAATACAGTGCGACTAACCATCAGCAAACAGTTTTACCCGTTCGGAAGAAGTCATTTTTACAACTAACAACAATGATCAGTGAAATCAATGCAAAGAAGAATTACGTCTAAAAAAATAGGTTGAAAACAGTCTTACTTTGTCGCCTATTTTATCACTTTTTTTTTTGTTCTTTATTATTATTTTCAGGTTTTTTAATAAGTTCTAAATAATTTTTTTTTTTTCTGAAGCCGATTATATCGAACCAAATCGGCGTCTTGACGAACAAATGAATTAATGTATGTATGTCAGCATCAGCAACAGCAGCAGTAACAGCAGCAAATGGGTAGCAACGGTAGCAACGACAGCAGCAACAGCAGCAGTGGTCATAGGATAACAGAAAAAAGATAAAAAAAAGAAAAGACAGAAAACAAGTTGAGAACCGATATGCATTTCTTACAATTATGTCAATCAGCGAAAATAAAAAAAAAATACCGAAACAGAACAAAACAACATAAAATAAAATCAAACAAAACAAAAAAAGGAAAGAATAAAAGTAAAATTTTTTTTTTTTCTATTTCTTAGTGATTTTGTTCGATCAAGTGAAAACAATAACCGATAACAATAATAACAGAAAAAGAACTTTCAAATCGAAAAAAAAAAAAATCTTTATTTTTTTTT